AACTTGCGTTCATTGCCCATTTTCAGATGCGTCATTTACACAAGTGAAAACACCATCTTATAAGGCAAGTCTTCATAGGGATTCTTGGCTTGCCCCAGTTTTATTATTGAGTGGGAAAAAAAACCACTCTCTTTATTATCCTTGTCAAAGCAAGACACTGTTATCTATCATAGAACTAACAGTTCCTGGCAGAAACTAAAGAGATTAGAAGGGAGAGAGGTGGTGAGTAAGCAGACAGCTAAAACAGGCAATGAAAAGGATGACAGAGTGAGAGCAGGGGAAACTTTTGCTTTTCCTGAATTCTCTAGACATTAGAGGATCTCAGTTCTGAAAACTGTTCAGAGGCACTGCAACAGCCCAAGATAGATATAAATGCAACACTGGCAGTAAGAAAGGAGGCTGGTTGTGAAAAAAACAGCAGAAATCATCTAAATGAAATAAATGAAACCTTGACAGAACATGCAATGTACACTTGCAAGTGTGAAATGTTCTCTTATCCAGTCACTTACACTCAAGCCTCTCCTCCCCAGTGCCCACTCATCACCACTAAAATCCCTAAAGCAGAACTTTCCAACTCCAATGTCTACAGGGCCAGGCAAGTGATGTAAATGAGGGACACATCGGTATTAAGACATCAAGATGTGGTGGGACCCTGAACGAACATCACAGAGGCTTTGGCTGACTTTTGCCGTATGAGAATAAAGGCCCAACGAGAGCACATCTTTCGTCTTTTTCAAGAGATGTAAGAAACTGCAATTTTACTTTATAATTTTTCAAATTCTAGCATATCAGGTAGACCAAAATATCTCTGTGGGTTGAATTTGGCCTACAGGCAGCTAGTTTACAACCTCTGATCTAAAGTGTTGCAGCAAAATAACTAGTATATGCAGATTTCCAGGGTTATAAAAGGTAAGAAGTTTGAACAGGTTCTGGGCCATGAGACAGTGAAATAAGGTTTAACTTTCAGGGACAGAAAGTCTAAAGGACTCAGACTTCAGAATATGACAGGTCGGTATTGGAAAAATTTAAGAGGAATTCTGAAAAAGTTCTATTGTAAGGAGGCATAGATGAAAGAAAACTAGAATGTACAGGGACCCTATCTGATTTAGTAAGAGAGGGAACTGGGTGTGGTGGCTCATGCCTATAATCCCAGCTACTTGGGAGCCTGAGGCCTGGGCAACACAGTGAGATCCTGTCTCTAAAAATAAAAACTAAAAAAAGAAAAAGAAAAACAGGGGAAAGGGGAAGGATGATATATATATATATATATATACACACACACACACACACAAATATAACATACAAGTTATTTCACCTCTCTGTGCCTTGATTTTCTTATCATAAAATAATAGAAGCTACCTCATAGGGTTATCGTAAGGATTAAATAAGGTAATTATTCATATGATGGTCAATACCCAGAGGGCAAGTAATGCTTAATAAATGTTAGTTATTAGTTATTATTATGAGACACCGAGTGGTGAAGTAACTTATTCAAGATCACATGCCTATTAAGGTGTACTACCTGGATTTGTACCCAGGAAGTATGGCTTCAGAGCCTATTCTTCCTATACTAAAGGCAGCTCTTCTGCCTCCCCTTACCTCGCTGGGCTAGTTTCTTATTCTTAATCTGTACAATGAGGAAGTCAGATCATATTATAATTAAAGTCTTCTTTAGAGCTGACTTTTTTTTTTTCTGCCAGCCAGCCCTCTAATCAGCTTATTTCAGGGCAGCAGTGGGACAAAAGTGACTCTGCTCCTATACCTTCAGGCTACCAAGTGGAGAGGTATAGTGTAGGCTTGGGGTAAGCCAGGGAAATCATTCAAACGTTGACTAATACATAGGTTAAGCCAGGAAGGAGAAGGTGTTCAGGGTGAGACCCTCATCACTGCTCCAAGGAGATTATCTGTTTCTAGGACAGCAGGCCCTGATTCACCCACATGCCCATGCAATTACAAGCTAGAAGTCATTTAAAATCCTGATAAGGAACCACAACAGGTTTAAAATCTAGGGTAATGAGAACACCAAGCAATCTTACCCTTTTGGAGTCAAGGGTCTCTATGAGAACTTGGTAAAAGCTTTCTGCCATCCCTAGAGAAAATATGACGTGTGTTCACTCAGATACATAAGCCACACAATTTTACCTGCAGTTGTAAGAGATTCACAAATTCCTTAAAATCTCTCCCTACACTTGAAGTATCCCTGAAAAAGTTCTATCATGTTCCAGGCTTGTCCTCCCAACAGATACAGAGTTGCCCCAAAATCTAGGTTGGCGTTTCTAGGCAGTAGTGCTCAAGAGACAAATCATCTATTGCAACTCAGCATAACTAATCCTACATGGAAAAGAAAAAGGGCACTCTCTTCCCCCAAACCAACTTGTACTGGAGGAATTCTAACAGAAAAGATCTGTAATTTCATCCCCAAACTCCAGTGGATGCAAAGTTAAGAAGAGTTCCAAAGATATTTCATGCCCCTTTTCTGCCTGACACCCATAAAACCTTGTAGAACCTTAGAAGAGTTGAAATAAATGCAATAACATTCTAGTCCCCATGGCACTATGCTCCTTCTTTTATTCCAAAAAGAAATTAGTCACGATTGCCAATTAGCCTTACTAGGCAACTTTTCTCCCACATGGACTCTGAAAACTGTAGGTTATCAAAGAAACTATAAAACCTCACCCATAATTGAAGAACTCAAAACAAGGTATCATTTTCCCCCATAATACTAGCAGTAGTTCAAGTGTTGGTGAAGGTCTGGAGACGCATGCAATCTCATACACAGCTGGTAGATTTGTAAGTCAGTGCAGCCTTTGGTGGTGGGGCTACAAGTTGACAGTTTTTATCAAAAATTTAAAAACATGCATCCTTTGATGCAGCAAGTCCGTACAGATATTTTTGCAAAAGTAGGCCAAGATAGACATACAACCAGGTTAAATGTAACATTGTTTATAATGACCAAAAACTGGAAACAAGAAGTCCTCCTGGTTGTTGGGTACATCATATAAATTGAATGCCATATAGGCATTAAAAGAAGGGGCTAGATCTGTTAGTATTGGTATGAAAAAAGGCTCCAAAACATATTGTTAATTTAAAAAAGAAATCGAGAACAGTGAGTATTACTACATGCTTCCTTCTGTCTCAAATTTTTTAAAGGATGCATATGCATAGTAGTATACATATTATATTAAGTTCTGGAAAGATAAACTGTTTACTGTAGTTACCTCTGGAGTGACTACAGATACTAGAAAGGAGTAGAACTGTACTGACAGACAAACATTTTAAAAACATACAAGTGTCAGGGATAATCTGGAGATGATTTTGTTTTTATTTTTTTCTGCATAAAAACCCAAAACCAATAAATGTCACTGTAAAAATAAAATAATCATCATCACTTACAATTCTTTTAACAAGAAAGAAACTATATTTATTAGTGAGGAGACAAGTGGAAAGCAGAGGAGGGCCCATATAATGCACAGTAAGAAACTGGTGGAAGAGAATGGGAGAGAATTGGGAGAATTAAAATATCCACACACTTCTCCTCTCTCAAGACACTGCAGACACCATGAATTACTCAGGCTTTCCACTGGAGATGAATAGCTCAGTGCGCTACTCCAGTTGCCAGCTATTCACTGCAATTTTAAGTAGGGGAGATAGTAGGTTGGGAGAAGGCTGGCGCAGTTCGTCCAAATCCTGCCTTTCGTAATATGGATGAGGTACAACAGTTGTTCCTAAAGAGCCTGAAGTAGTAGAGAACACTGCAGCTAAATGCAGTTGTCTTCTTGGCAGACAGCAAGCCTCCTAAAGTACACAGTGCAAAAGCACATTAGGGGTCCTGCCACTACACACATTTCAATAGACTGTAAAAGCAAGAGCCAGGTGCCTATGCAAGAGGGGGCAGGAGAAATCTCTGCTGCCCTCAGGAAGCTTAGGGAGCCCTGCTCAATGCCAGGGACAACCCTCCAGGCTACACGTATCTGCCACAATAGTTCCAACCATCTCTTACTGCCCCATGGAGAGAATCAGCTAGGAGTAAAAATCATCAAGGAAGATAATCTTCTGTACTTAACTATTCCTTTCATCTGAGGCCCATGAAATAAATTATAACATCACTTAGTTTCCATGATACTCTTTTGCAACATTGCTTTACGAAGTGGGAAATTACATCTATGCAGAATTTCCAGAGGAGCTAGCTAGCAATGCATGGAAGTTTTTAAATAAAGCATGGCCAGCTTTATGTACAGGTGCCATAAAAAGTAGTCCCTCCCCCATGGGACTTAAGGAACATAAAAGAGCCTGCTACTCACCCCCATTCCCACATCCTTTAATGATGCCTGAGATTCCCCTATTAGTGATTCATGCCATCATTCAGGATTGTCTTAAGTATGCTCTTTTCATAGTGCCATGTGGAGGAACACATGAGGTTGTGAACACCACAGTGCAATGGCTCTCAACCTTTTGTTGTTGTCACTATAAAGGTCATTAGTCCTTTTGATAAACAGAAAATGCGCTTATTTGAAAATATAATATATAATTTTCATATAATTTTGGCAGTTCAGTATTTTTTAAGCCCTCTTAGGGATCCCCTCCAACCTAGGCTTAAGAACCTCTGGCTCAGCAGCAACAAGTTTGGCAAATCTCCACCTCCACCTCCTCCCCTCCACCCACCCCACACCAAGAGCTCCTATGCATCTGGGGAACACTGGGCCTGAAGAGAGAAGGCAATATTAAAGGGATGCTCTGACTACTTCAGATAATTGCCTAAAACTGACCCTGTCTACAGTCCAGATTACTGTTTATGATTCCTCCTCAGCAAGGAGTACGGATTTTTCACTGTCTATTCCTTGGAAACAGGCTCTCCTGGCTTGAGACACACTATTTATCTTAAGAAACGCCCAGCAGAGATAACTGCCAAAGAGGTCCTTACAACACTTACTGGCTGGTCACATTACCTGAGAAATGAGGCAGGGGAAAGTTTTAACACCTTATGAATAAAGGGGACTCACCTCTGAGGTTTGCGAATGTCCCAGAGTCCCACTCCTTCCTTTGAATTGGCTGTGGCCAACAACCTGGGCTCCACAGGGTTAAACATGACACTATGAAAGGCTGATGGATAGTTTGCCAGGCAGAAGGGTTCTGTGGAAAGAAAAATTACAACCAGTTCATTCCAGGTACCTTTGGGCCACTGGCAGGCAGATAAGCAGAAATGTGAATGCAGGTCGGAGCACTCTTTAATAACCACTCCAATGACCTGGTGCCCCAAAACAGTACATAATTTCACCAGTCACCCCTACTCACGAGGTCCCCATGAGTCCTATACATAGCAAGGTAAACACATTTAACCACACTTTAAGCTATAACACCCAGAAATATATATAGTAGCTATCAGATCTTGAGACAAAACAGAAATGGTTACTAAAAATGGGAAAACAAACCATTTTACAGTAAGTAAAACTGAATTCCGCAGGAGCTGAAAAAATTCACAACCAATTACTAGTAGGATTCTTATGCTTTTAATCCAATTGTATTAGTTTTAGAAATTAAAGGTTTTTAAACTGCACACAGATTTGATGAAGATAAAACAAAACACGACAAAATTAAGACATGGTGAAATAATGGTGTGGTTTTTCTCTTCTGCTTCACAATGCTCCCTAACATCTAGCCAGTCTGTAATCAACTTCACCTAGAAACCCTGCATCATTTTACAAAAATTAGCAGGTTCCAAGTGAAGAAGAAACCACTTAGTTACCTAGCAGGATATACTCCTAAGGGACCTGTTAGAGTAATACAAAGAAAGCACTTCTCAGTCTATGACCTCCATATGCAGTACTTCACAGGTCTTTGAGCAGGTAAAGCACTCAGTCATCTCCGCCATCAGGCAGTTCAGACTAAGGAGAATTTCACCTACCAAGCCCACAGTGACTTGACCACAGCTGCTACTTCCTGCTACCTTACCTACCTAACCCTAAAAACAAGCTTCTCTTATAGCCTGAACCTAAATAATGAGCACGGCCCAGAATGTAAAATGTTTAGAATATAAAAAAATTAAAAGACCCAGATCCTGCCAGACAAAGCAGGCAGGATAGTAAATTTAGGTACACAGCTGTGATCATTACAATCTGCACTAAAGGACAGGGTGAGTATGGCAGTGGCACTAAGGCTGGTACTAGAGGAAGGGGTCTTCTGAAGACAGGTAGAATTACAGAAATCTCTCCGTAGGAAATGAGCTGAGAAGATGCATTTCCTGAAGAACTTCAGAGAAAGTCAACAAAGCAACTTCTTCATTTTACACATCAGAGTCAAAGGGCACATTCAGAGGAGGCACTCACACAGACAATCTCCTTTAAATAGAGTTTACTTGCCATCATTTTAAGATCCTATACACAGGTAATTTGAGATTCTGTGGTTCAACAAAATAACAAGCCTGAAACTAGGATGCAGGAAAGCACATAACACCCCCATTCTCTGTAAATAATCAAGCATAGTTCCATGTCAGCACCACAACTTCTGCTCCTTGGGGCACTAAACAGCAAGGTACAAGGGTCTGTGGAGAGCCACAGGAGGGTAGAGAAGGACTGGCAAAGGTGCCTCACTCCTGAGTACTTTGGTGGAGGATAAGGCCTCCAAAGACCTCTTATGCCCCCATGTGAGTGTTTCACATTTCCTTTCCCTTGACATCACTTGCACATAGATACTGAGGTCATAAATTGGATCTTCAATGAATCTGACACCAAACTGCTCAACACAGTCCAACAGTCTTTTGCATAGTGACCCTACCTCCATGGGGAGATTCCCGGATGTCCCAAATGAGAACCCGGCCATCATCTGAGGAACTGGCAAAAATGTTGTCATTCACTGGGCTCACAGACAAGCCATATACCGCATCTTCATGAGCAAACACGTCCAATGTCTCACTGCTGGGAGATAGAGAGCAAGACAGAGGCACACACATACACACAAGCATAGTGCAGAGTCCCAGCACTTCAGTACCGAGGGTGCCATCTTCTCCATTTCTAGGAGAAAGTCAACCCAGCTAAACCTGAAAAATATTATATTTCCTGAAAGGTAGGTAGTCAACTTTCAGGTTTAAGAAAAGGTACTATTAAGGAGTCTAAGATTTTATAATTTTTGTGTTAAATAAGCATATTTAAAAGTGACTCAATAGCTGAGTTTAGTATTTTCATTTATTACAGAATTCTTCTGCTTGTGTACAGATTTGGAGGTCGTACTTGATTTTCCTTTTTTTTTTTTTTGAGATGGAGTCTTGCTCTGTCACCCAATGTGGAGTGCAGTGGCGCAATCTCGGCTTACTGCAAGCTCCGCCTCCCAGGTTCATGCCATTCTCTGCCTCAGCCTCCCAAGTACCTGGGACTATAGGCATCCGCCACCACACCCGGCTAATTTTTTTTTTTTTTTGTATTTTTAGTAGAGACAGGGTTTCACCATATTAGCCAGGATTGTCTCGATCTCCTGATCTTGTGATCCGCCTGCCTCAGCCTCCCAAAGTTCTGGGATTACAGGTGTGAGCCATAGCGCCCGGCCTGTACTTGATTTTCAAAGAGCAAGGGAAAGCTTTAGAGCAGCCAAGTCTGATGCCAACAGGGTGGAAGAGGGGTCCCCTAGCAATCTGATGAAGAGCATGGCTCTGACGCCAGGTAGCCTAAGTTCAGGTTCTCGTCACTTGACCTGCTGTTATCTAACATGTCTGTGCCTCCGTTTCCTCATCTAGAATGGAGATCACAATAGTATCTCCTTAGAAAGTAAGTGTGAGGATTAAACAAATTAATATGTACGAAGCATTTACAATGGTGTCTGGCACATAGTAAGAACTCAATCAATATTAGCTATTACTGTTCTTAAATATTATGGTTCCTTCTCTTCTAAACTCTTGTTTTAAATTTTCATCTAAAACGTATACTTTCATGCCAACTTTCAAATCCCTTTTTCCTTTTTAAATCAAAACTTTATTTCAAACTATTGTAGGAATATATTTTAGAAAAGAACAGCTGGTTTCACGCTGTTTTCTTCAAAAAACAAAATCCAATTTTAGTCTAAAGAAATATTTGCCTCTTCATATATGAAAAACAAAGTCAATCACCTTCACATACCACCAATCTATTTACCTTTCAACATCATGGAGGATAACTTGCTCATCATTTCCTGCAAAAGAAAAAAGCAGACATTCGATCATTCCTGCAAGGTGGTCCCTGTCCACATTACAATTTAGTATTATTAAGTTTTCAGGGAAAAAATATGAACAAAGCCAATGCTAATACAAATTAGAAGTGTTAGCTAGAAAAAAGATTTATAGAAATCATTTAAGAAGGATAGGACACTCTTACAGAGAATTTTTTAAAAATAATAGCAGCCAAGTATAACATAGTAACAGTTCCCAACATGTATTATCCAGTGGATGATGTAAAAAAAAACAACTGTGGCTACAGCCTGGGCAACATAGCTAGACCCTATCGCTATGAAAATAAAAATAAAAAAATTAGCCAGGTGGTGGCACACCCTTGAAGTCCCAGCTACTAGGGAGGCTGAGGTGGGGGAAATCGCTTGAGGCCAGGAGTTCAAGGCTGCAGTGAGCTATGATCGCACTCCAGCCTGGGCAAGAGAGAGAGACTGTCTCAAAAAAAAAAAAAAAAAAATGTTGGGGAAACACCACAAAACAAAACTGTGGCCATCAAGGAAAACACTAAATGATCATTGGCAAATTAATTCACTAGCTTTTTTTTTTTCAGCAGAACACTCACTAATTATGAGACCCGCAATAAAATCTTTAACATTTCTATGACCCAGCTTTGTAACCTACAGAATAGTGATAATAACATCACAGAGTAATTGTGAGCGTAAGAGTACAACTGTAAAAGCATTCAGAATAGGGCTGAGCGCTTAATAAGCCCCCAATAAATGTTTGCTAATATTTCTATCCTCATGCTCTTTAAAAAATTTTTTTCTTTCTTTTGAGACAGGATCTTGCTCTGTTGCCCAGGCTGGAGTGCAGTGGTGCAATCACGGTTCACTGCAGTCTCGACCTCCTGTGCTCAAGCAATCTTCCCACTTCAGCCTCCCTAGTAGCTGGAACTACAGGCATGTGTCACTATGCTTGGCTAATTAAAAAAAAAAAATTTTTTTTTTGTAGAGATCTAACATGTTTGGGTCTAACTATGTTGCCCAGGCTGGTCTCAAACTCCTGGATTCAAGCAGTCCTCCTGCCTTGGCCTTTCAAAGTGCTGGGATTATTACAAGTGTGAGCCACCATACCTAGCCACATCATCTTTCACAGCATTAAAACTTGATGACTGTGATTCCAAATGATGTGAAAGTTTTAATCTTGTATTTCTCCTTATTCTATCAAAGGATATAAATTATATTCATGATATGTGTAGTCCTGCCTTCAAATGGTTTGTATAGCAAAAAAATTAAAACCTGAATATAAAAAGACAAAACATAAAAAAAGCCCCACTCTATGCTAAAATGCACAACCAACAGTCACTTAAATAGAAAGCAAAAGTAGCAGTAAAGATATGGCCCAGGGCATCTTAAACAAAGGCCTGGCTGTAAATTCTATTGTGGGTGCAAACCAATGAAATCAGTAAACCCATACTAATGCCTTCTAGATATCAGGCACAGTGCTAGGTCCTGGGTATATAAAAAGAATAAGATTCTACTCTGTCCTTGAGAACTCACAGTCCAATTGGACAAACAACTAATAGCAACAAGAGAGGGTTTGCTTTGTAGCAATATGATCTAGCTATGGGGTCAATTATTTCCTTCATAAGCAGGGTGAAAGTACATGGAGAAGGAGATATTTGAAGAGAAACTCAAATAACTCAAAACTCCTACCAATGAAAGGCTTAGGGGAATTGGTGGGGACTGGACAATTAAGGTGGAAGAACACCATGAACAAAAGGCACAGGACAAAATAGTACCGTGCAGTGCATTCTTCAAATGACAAATAGTTTGATGGGCTAGAGTATATAACTCAGGGAAGGGAGGTCAGGCCAGACAGATGGGGGTTTAGACTTTATTTTTTAGGCACTGTAGGCTCAATGGTTCACATGGTCCAGTCTTTATTTTTAAAAGTAAACTTGTATATGAAATGAATTCAAAGGAGGATGGACAGTGGTAACAGAAATCACAGAAAGCCATTGCAAAAAACCAGGCCAAACTAAAGGATGAATATGAGAGGCTTTCAAGATAGACCCGACAGGATTTGGTGACAGACTAGATGTGGAAATGTAAGAAAGACAGGTTTGAGGATGACTCCAAGATCATAGGTAGAATGAACCATGTGAAACTGCTACTTTTTTAAGTTGAAAATGGTTAATTGTCAGCAATTTCTTAAACTTAATAGCTTATATAATTGGGTGAATGGTAATAACTGAGAAAGAAAATCCAGCAGACAAGAAGAAATTTTCCCTCAAGGGAGGACTAATGATCTTGGTTTTAGAGCTATTGTATTTAAGTTGCTTTTGGAACACAGGTAGATATTCAGTGGGAAAATCTGCAGCTTAGAAAAGAGGTCAGAACTAGAAATGTGGGGGTGAGAAGGAGTATGGCTGATGGAAGCCATCACCAAGAGGTTGGTGTGAGCACCAGTCATTTCAATTGTACCTAACACAACACTTTTCAAACAGAAGCCATCTGTGGGTTATGACATCCATTTGAGTTATGGCCAGCATAATCTTTAAAAATGAAATAGAATAGAATAAAAAACAAAATCAGAGTATGCCACATATAGAAAGGTTAAGTATTGTTTCAAATATGTGTGTGTGTGTGTGTGTGTGTGTCTCTGTGGGTTTCTGTGTACCAGATGGCAATGTGAAAAGTTTTCTGCCAGAGAGAAATAAAGAAAAGGACAGGTGAAGAAAAGAAAAAAAAAAGAGAGAGAGAGAAAAGACACACACTATCCTAATAGACTGCTGTAATGCAGAAAAGACAAGCTATGAGAAACCAGTAATTCCACAGCTCAACGAAATACAGGAGGAAAAATAAGGAGTTATTTTCACACTCTTTTCTCTAAAATCCCAACCACAGTGACGTTCCCAAGGTAGAATCTTCCTTTTTACCTCCAGAGAACACTTTAGTGTTCCCACTGTTGAAAGCCAGGCAAAAAATGTTGGAATGGTGCTCTCCTTTCAGCTGTATGGGCTTGACCCTGGAGTGGATGGCTTGTTCCATGTGCCATAGCAGAACCCGGCGGTCATCTCCTCCTTAAGAAGGAAGTAAGAATCTGTGGTTATAACAGCTGACATCGCAAGGCTGACAGATGGTTTTGCCAGCCTCGAATCCCATCCTTTCCAAAACTGCACCTCCCCAACTCCATAAGATTCACATGGAGCACAAAAACCCAGAACTCTCCCTACTTCACCATCAATAGGTACATGTTCTCTAGGCCATTCATCTTCTCCCAGGAACTGCATCTTAAGCAGACATAGAAAATGAAAGGGATAAGCACTGATATTGAGACTCCTAAAGCCACCCTGTTCCTGTCTTTCCAGAGTTGTTTAAATATTTCTTCATTTGCTACCCAGAATCCCTTCATGGAAGTCCTTTTTATTTGTTTAATAGAACCTGAGATGACTTCCATAATAGTTCTAGCATAATGGTTTTCAAAGCAATCTTCTTAATGTGATCTCATTGACTGTGGGACACCATACAAATGGTAACTAAGAAATCACCTGACTCTTACAGTAATAGGATCTAGACAGAATACGGCTCAGCACAGCTCTTAACTCTGTGTAACTTTGGGTCTGGGTGGGTGGTTGTTGTTGTTTTTTTTCTCACTTTTACTTTTTACTTTTACTTTTCTTGCACTTTTTATAAGAAGGCTATACTATTTTCCTAATAAAAATTTAATTTACAACAGCAGCAAACCATAGCAAGCTCTATACCTCCGCCTCCCCTCCTCCATTCAATGAAAAATGCAGCCACAAATGATAGCACATCCATACAAGGGCATACTATGAAGCCATTAAGTTGTTAGATCTATATAAGAGCTAATGCAGAAAGATGTCCAAAGATACTTGTTAAGGGGGAAAATGAGGTATAAAACAGTATGTACCTCAATATCCATTTGCATAAAACAAAATTTTTAAAAGCTCCATGACAGCAGGAACCTTGTCAGTTTTGTTCACTGGGAAATACCTGGCACATAAATGAGTGTTCCAAAGAATGAGCATTGAGAGTATGCTTATAATCTTGTATCTGTGCTTGTATTTGCATAGCCCTATCTAGATGGCTATAAAAGAAGTTGTTTACAGTGCCAACTATAACTGGTAGGCTGGTGTTGGGAGACTTTTTATGGTGGTAAAATATATATACATGTAACTTACCATTTTACCCATTTTCAAGTGTACAATTCAGTGCCTTTAAGTACATTTGTGCTGTTGTACAGCCACTGCCATTATTCACCTTCAGAACTTTTTCATCACCCCAAACTGAAACTCTACACCCAACAAACAATAACTCCTCCCAGCGCCTAGTAGTCACTGTTCTGTTCTTTTTTCTTTTTTTTTTTTTTGAGATGGAGTCTCGCACTGTTGCCCAGGCTGGAATATGGAGTGCAGTGGCGCAATCTTGGCTCACTGCAACCTCCACCTCCTGGGTTCAAGTGATTCTCCTGCCTCAGTCTCCCGAGTAGCTGGGATTACAGGTGCCCGCCACCACGCCCAGCTAATTTTTTGTATTTTTAATAGAGAAGGGGTTTCACTATGTTGACCGACCAGGCTGTTCTCAAACTCCTGACCTCGTGATCCACCCGCCTCGTTCCTCTCAAAGTGCTGGGATGACAGGCGCGAACCACTGCACCCGGGCAAGTAGTCACTATTCTACTTTCTGCCTCTAAGGATTTGTCTACTCTAGGAACCTCATATAAGTTGAATCACACAATATTTCTCCTCCTAGGTCTGGTTCACTCCCTTAGCATAATGTCTTCAAAGTGCATCCAGGCTGTGACATGTATCAGAATTTCTTTGCTTTCTAAGGCTGAATAGTATTCTATCGTATATATATTTGTATGCATATTTTGTTTCTCCACTAATCCATCGATGACCATTTGGGTTATTTCCATCTTTTGGCTATTGTGAATAATGTTGCTATGAACACGAGTGTACAAATAACTTTTTGAATCCCTCCTTTTAATTTGGGTATATACTATTGGAAAACTTTTATGTTTTAATTTTTACTTTATACCTTCCTATACTGCTTCACTTTTTGCCACAGCAGATTTCTTTTTATAATAAAAAAATAGAAGAAGATACAGAAGCCAAATCATACTTATTCTACTTATTCTCCTTCTCCTAGAAAGAAATTGTCTTTGCTACTTGAATTCCTTTGTTTCTTTTTTTTTCTTTTTGAGACAGAGTCTTGCTCTGTCGCCCAGGCTGGAGTGCAGTGGCGTGATCTTAGTTCACTGCAAGCTCCGCCTCCCGGGTTCACGCCATTCTCCTGCCTCAGCCTCCCAAGTAGCTGGGACTACAGGCGCCCGCCACTAGTAGAGACGGGGTTTCACCGTGTTAGCCAGGATGGTCTCGATCTCCTGACCTCGTGATCCGCCCGTCTCGACCTCCCAAAGTGCTGGGATTACAGGCTTGAGCCACCGCGCCTGGCCAAATTCCTTTGTTTCTTGAGTTTCTTCTTCCTTCCATTGTCAGTCCAAATCAAGTTGTATACCAGACTGATGCCCTAAGTGTGGCCCACAGTGTTCTCTTTATGATAGGCCTATTTCAACTATGAGTTCTCTGGCCTAGGATAGTATCAAAATTATGTATTTCTTACAAATTTACCACTCTGTAAAACATCAAGCGAAGGTCATGAAAATCATGGTTTGGGTTTCTGTCACTTTATTTTCATGAAAAATGACACAGATGGTTTTCCACACTACAAACAGACTTAGGTATGGACACTTCAGTTCTCTATAGTCTTCACTCCTATGGTTTTCTCCCAACACTGAGGCTGTGAGTCAGGGACTTACCACTGCTTCTGCTACTATATTTTTTTAAGTTAAATAAATACTTCTCTATACTCATGCCTCTAGTGAAAGCAAAAAGTTAAAAGAGAGGCACACATGTTTTTTCTACTTGCTCATGTTTCTGACCTAATCTCCCTTAGCCTCAGTTTCACCAAACATAAAATGGTCATCATAATGGTTCTACCCTCATTGGTTTTATAGATGATAAAGCCAAGTACAAAAGAGTAATTTGCCAACATCACATAATAAAGTCATCGAGCTAAGATTCAAACACAAGCAGTAAAGACTCTGTAGCCCCAACTCTTAACCACTATTCTATACTGCCTTATTGAACAAAAAATGAACCATAACTGACAAAGCAAATTCATTCTGATGGACAGTTGAAGGGACTGTCCGCCTTAGTAGCATAACTCAACTGTTAAGTAAGAATAAAGGGACCCCAGGAGTAAAAACAGAAGCTGACTTAACTCCAGCAAACTGGCCCGTGGAGTAAACTGAAGGACCAGGACAGGACTGCCTGAGTTTATAAGAATTCTTGCAGCGCACGATACTGGTAATGGCTTAATATCTAGAAGATGCAAAGAATTTCTACAAATAATTCTTAAAACTCCAATAGGAAAAGAGGCAAAGAATATAACCATTCAGAAAAGGAAACCCAAATACCAAACAGATTTTATAGATCTCAAATTCTATATGTTATCAGGGAAATGTACACTGTAATTTAGACAGATTCTCACAAAGTGGCACAAGGGAATGTACAAGAAAGTTCACTGAAGCACTGGTCATAATATAAAGAAAACCTATATACAACATAAATACCTAACAATTCAGGAATGGATAAATTCCACTGGAATATAAAATAGATGGAGTCTAAACACAATGGAATATTATACAGCAGTTAAAATGAACAAGAAACATGTATAAAAACATGAATAAATATTGAAAACCTAATGGTAATAAAAGCAAGTTTCAAAAGGATATGAAAGGGATAATATTTAAACATGTATTTTTAAATATCAAAAACAATACTTCATATTGTTTATGGATAAACACACATAGTAAAAGAGGCTTTTAAGTGTATCTGTAGTGTTTCTTTAAAAAAAATACAGAAGTGATTTTAGCAAGATTGGGAGATATAAGGTTAATATACAGAAGTTCATCACTTTCCTATATACCAGCAATGAATAAGTGGAATTTGAAATATAAAATATTTAGGTATAAATTTAACAAAGTTTTATAATATATAAGAAAAATTTTAAAACTCTGATGAACAAAATCAAAGAACTAAATAAATGGCCAGATATTCCTTTTTTTTTTTTTTTTGAGATGGAGTCTCGCACTGTTGCCCAGGCTGGAATATGGAGTGCAGTGGCGCAATCTTGGCTCACTGCAACCTCCACCTCCTGGGTTCAAGTGATTCTCCTGCCTCAGTCTCCCGAGTAGCTGGGATTACAGGTGCCCGCCACCACGCCCAGCTAATTTTTTGTATTTTTAATAGAGAAGGGGTTTCACTATGTTGACCGACCAGGCTGTTCTCAAACTCCTGACCTCGTGATCCACCCGCCTCGTTCCTCTCAAAGTGCTGGGATGACAGGCGCGAACCACTGCACCCGGGCAAGTAGTCACTATTCTACTTTCTGCCTCTAAGGATTTGTCTACTCTAGGAACCTCATATAAGTTGAATCACACAATATTTCTCCTCCTAGGTCTGGTTCACTCCCTTAGCATAATGTCTTCAAAGTGCATCCAGGCTGTGACATGTATCAGAATTTCTTTGCTTTCTAAGGCTGAATAGTATTCTATCGTATATATATTTGTATGCATATTTTGTTTCTCCACTAATCCATCGATGACCATTTGGGTTATTTCCATCTTTTGGCTATTGTGAATAATGTTGCTATGAACACGAGTGTACAAATAACTTTTTGAATCCCTCCTTTTAATTTGGGTATATACTATTGGAAAACTTTTATGTTTTAATTTTTACTTTATACCTTCCTATACTGCTTCACTTTTTGCCACAGCAGATTTCTTTTTATAATAAAAAAATAGAAGAAGATACAGAAGCCAAATCATACTTATTCTACTTATTCTCCTTCTCCTAGAAAGAAATTGTCTTTGCTACTTGAATTCCTTTGTTTCTTTTTTTTTCTTTTTGAGACAGAGTCTTGCTCTGTCGCCCAGGCTGGAGTGCAGTGGCGTGATCTTAGTTCACTGCAAGCTCCGCCTCCCGGGTTCACG